AGATCTTCAAAGGATATAAGGTTTTAGTAGGCAGGAAAATTAATTTTCAGTCTATTGAATAGGATGGTGATTACAGTCAATGTGTTGTAAGTTTCAAAATTGATAAAAGAATAAATTTTGTGTTCTCACTATGAAAAATAAGTATATAAGGCAATACATAAATTTTATTTAATCATCCCATAATGTAAACATATCAAGAAATGACATCATCAGTCTAGATGTCAGAAGATAACAAACATTATTCCCTCCATAGTCCTCAATGGACATGTATCATAGGCAAAAAATAAATAAACAAACATTTATTCTTAAACATCATTGAAATTTTAAGAGTGATTGTAACTGCAATATTACAAAGTTTATGCTGATTTTGTACACTTGGGTCCAGATTTAGGTACTACCACAAGAAAACCAAACACATAAGCCACTATCCTTTAGTAGTCAAGCAGCAGTTGAAAAGAAAATTGTTATTGAAAGTTTAGGATAATAATCTGTGGTATTCACAGAAAAACTGTAATAACCTTAAGGTAGATTATTTGACTAATGAACTTAAAGGTTAGAAAGAGGTTGAAAAATAATGTCATTAACACGTTGGCTGTGACTGACTGTCAAGTTACAAAAGAGATGAATCCAGAAATGACAGTGCACAACAAGAGTAATTGTGGACAAGGCGACCACAAGATCAAAGCTTATATAAATGACAACTTGGAAAGTTACAGAAGCATAATTTTCTTAGAACATATTTTATTCCCCTCAGAACTATGTAGCAATTTTCCAATGTCTTCCAGTACTGAATGTGTTATAGATCATGACGTCGTAAACTGTGGGGTCAAGAAACCAAATGAACTATTTTCCAACAATAAAATGTTTCTAAACACATCATAATTAAAAATTAATTAAAAATTAACACATTATGTGAACCTGACGTGATTGGGGCAGTGCTTGCAAATCCTGTATCATGCGACTTCACTGCAGTCTTGGTTCTGAACACACAACATGCACACTTCACACTGCATGCCATCACAACATAAAATGTCAAAGAACCTGCTTCAAATGCTTCTGCCCAGATTTCAGATTGTAGATTGTGAATTTTAGTATTTCTACTGCACACACAGTTTTCTGCTTCTTACAGAGGTTATTTCACAGAAACAATTTTTAATATTTTCCTACTGTCATTCTTCAGCATGTAAGTATTAAATAAGCTTATTTTGGGATCGCACTGCGTCAGAATGTTATGATTTTTTAAATTGCTGTTTCGGTTGCTAAATTCAATCTCATTTAAGAATTGATTAAATAAATTTTGCCTTGGGATTAGGACAGAATTTGCAATCATTTCCAAAATGTTATAGATGAGTCTAAAGATGAGCCTGTTCTAGATGAATCTTAAGCAACCTGGTTTTTCCATCCCATTCCTTTTCTTGTTTCTTATCCCTAAAAAATTATTTATTCTGAAAACTGAATAACTTAGCCAAAATATATTCCTTAGTGTTTACTGTTCTACAGCAAATTTTCTCAAGGAATAGGCTGCATCCTTTCAATGTATTTTTCATTTTATATCATTAAGCATATTTGCCTTTGAATGTGCTGTGTTCTCTAATTCAGGGGCATTTGCTAATCTTATGTAAAGCCACTTGCCTCCTCCATAAATACTATCTTCTAATAACTTTAATGTTTTTTTACCTTTGCCTCGGCATTCTCTGTGAGTACGCCAAGCCTTTTCTCTTCATTGATAATTTTTCATCTCTTGAGTCTGATTTTTCGTGATTTTAAAACTTGTTCTTTAATCCTTTAAGGTGTGTGGTCTTTAGTTGATTTTTTTGCTTCCTTTATCTCTACTTTATTTTATTTTTCACTTAATACTTATTATCTACTACATAATGGAGAAGATTCCAATTTCCAGGGATATAATAGTGGGTAAAAAAGGGCAAAATTTAGCCCTATTTTTCAGTACATTACCTTAGTGTCTTGTTACATTGCACTCATCTTTCTTAAGTGCCACTACAGCGTAAAGTACAGGCAAAAATTCTCTTTTCTCCCTAGGTTAGAGTTTTTGTCAGATTGTGTACTTCACAGATCAACATGTCATCTTCCTGTCTTCTTTTCCATTCCTCTTTCCTTCTTTTTATTTTATGTGTATGAGTGTATTGCCTGTATGTATGTAAGTGCATCCGTGTTGTGCAATGCCTGCAGAGGTCAGAAGAGGGTATCGAATTCCCTTAGAACTGGCATTACAGATGGTTGCTAGCTCAAACGTGGGTGCCAGAAATTGAAACTGGAACCTCTGCAAGAGCAGTTAACGCTTTTAACTGCTGAGCCATCTCTCCAGCCCCTTTACTTCAATTTATGGTAGCAGGATGCATGACTATCACTGACTTTTTTTTTTTTTTTTGGCTGATATTTAGCATGAAAATCCTGTTCAATCTTTTTCCCTCTATGTATTAATCAGTCATCATGCTAATACAATTCCACCTCCAAATCACAATGGCTTCATATAAAAATTTTATTCTTGCTTGTGAGACTGTAGACAACCTGCCATTTGGCTGTTTCCACCTTGGCTAACCTAAATCTGCCTACACCGAGGTCATGGTATGACAGGTATGGAAGGTTCTACTTCACCAGACTATTAAGAAAAAATGTCTGATTCACTCAAGATTGAAGTTATTGGTGAAACTTACAAGGACTTCTTTAATTTAATTCCTTCCTGATGTGTGCCTTCTAGAGAATAACTGGAACTAAAAAATGGTAGAGCCCTGCAAACACTGATCAGTGCTACTGAAATCACAACCTATACATATGGATAAGTTTCACAAATTTTGGAAGCCATGGATTTGAAGACATCAATATTAAGACCTGAAGACTGGGGCTAGAGAGATGGCTCAGGGATTAAGAGCACTGGCTGCTTACAGAGGACCCGGGTTTAAGTCCCAGCACCCACATGGCGGCTAACAACCATCTGTAACTCCAGTTCCAGGGGAATCCAATACCCTTTTCTGACCTCCGTGGGCACTGCATGATATGGGTGCACTTGCACACATGCAGGCAATACACTCATATACATAAAATAAAAATAATGAAATATTAAAAATACCCTGAAGAGCGTGAGTGCATCTTCACTATGACTCTGTGCTTATCAAAGAGTAGGTAAGATTAAATCCATCAATTCAAATTTTTTTAAGTTGCCTATGAATTACAAGAGATGTTAAGTACAAAGGTGGAAAACATTCAAACATAAATATGGGAAGGCCTCGGGAATATAAAATCCCACTACAACTTCAAACATATCAGTTATCTAAAAAAGTATAACAACAAATTATTATTTATCTTGGTGGTGGAATACAGTAGTCTCACCAATCAAATATTTGGCTCACATTACTACACATTAGTAGCAAGTATAATTTAACTTATTAAATGAAGGCTTCTTAAGGTTTTGCAATTCCTCAGAATTTTTGTGGAAAATATATTATTAAAGTACTAGAGTTCTTGAGAATTTGTGTGTATGCCCATGTGTGTGGAAGCAAGAGGTGGACATCGTGTCATCCTCAATCACTCCATCTTAATTTTTTAAGACAGGGTCTCTCATTGAATCTAGAGCTCATAGACTCAGCTAGACTGGCTGGCCAGTGAACTCCAGGGATGGCCTATCTAAACCCTCCCAAGCCCTGAGGTTACAGACACCCAGTTTTATGTAGGTGCTGGGAATTTGTATTAAGGTCCTCATGCTCTGTGGCAGGCACTTTACTGGCTGAGCCATCTCCCCAGTCTAAAGTATCAAGACAACTTAATTAAAATCTAATTTAATCTGCTGAGTAAAAATGTGTCGCTTAGGGACTAGAAATCAGTTAAGAGCACTGGCTGTTCTTGCAGAAGACCCAGGTTGGATTCCCAGCACCCTCATGGCAGCTAACAATCTCTAACTCCAGTTTCCAACTCCTCTGGCCCCCCTGAGGTATTACATGCAAGTGGTATACTTATATTCAAGTGGTGTACTTAAAAAACATGCAGACAAATACTCATATACATACACTAAGAATAAATCTTAATAAATTTTAAATGTGTGGCTTGGACTTGGTAATTTCCAGGAATAACTGATTTTTTAAAACTTGTCCTCCTTTATCCCATTTACATTGTACGTGAATCAAATGCCTAGGGTTTTTTTGTTTGTTTGTTTGTTTGTTTAGGGTTTTGGTTTTTTTTTTTTGTCTTTTTGAGACAAGGTCTCCCAATAGTCGCAGCTGGCCTGGATTCACTAATGGAGACCAGGCTGGCGTCGAACTCACAGAGATCTGCCTGCCTCTGCCTCCCGAGTGCACACCACGCCCGGCTAAATGCCTAGTTTTAAGGCCATCTCTTCCATACGACATCCTTGACCGCTGAATCTTACTGTTCTCATTGTCAATATTTTAGGTCTTTGGGTGCTTTGTGCGTGTCTTCCATTACACTGCAAGCTGTTGTTGGAGCTGGATCTCTGTCATAATTTCTTTTGAATTACCCAGGGTGTCTTAAAAGTCAATTTGAGCGTGTACCACGTCGGTCTCTGAACTTAGCTTTGTCATTTTGTCAAAGTGTACCTAGTTTCCGGTGTACCTGGATAATCCTATTTGTCTGAGGTGTCTCTGAGCTGTCCGACATTCGTTTTCTGTTACAACAAAGGACTTGTGGGATAACGACGCTAAAGCAGCATGTCAAGGGATTTGACCCACCACCCTGCTTGTTAATGGCTGTGAACATAGACTAAGCCTCTCGAAGCCCATGAGGAACTTTAAAGGCGCTTATTTAAAATGCCACTGCGAAACCTAGTTACCCGTCAGTTACCCGGGCCTCCAGAGCTGCAGATGCTCAAGGATGTTGACAAGGCAGCGAGGATTTACCAGCCAGAGGCCCTGTCGCTACGGTAACGGCAAGCCGCAAGTGCGCTTGCATGGAAACCTTGAGCCCCGGACTAGTGAAGGGATTAGCGACGAAGGCGAGTCGCGGCAGCGGCCTGACTTACGGCCGCGGCGTGATTTACGGCCGCCCGTCCCGGCGCGTTGCTGAGCTTGAAAGTGTGGGCGCGAGTACCCGTAGGAGCGCTCTGGCTTGTGTGCCTGGCGGGATGACCCAGTCGGTGGTAGTGCAGGGTGAGCTGCCCGGGGCCTGTGGGGACCAGATCGCTGAAGAGCCCAGCCGTCTGCTTTCCTCCCTAATGTCGGTTCTCTCTCTTCCTCACCCCTGGCCGCAGTCGGCCAGTGTGGAAACCAGATCGGCTGCTGCTTCTGGGACCTTGCGCTGAGGGAGCACGCCGCGGTCAACCAGGTACCCGCCCCGCCGGAGTCCCCCGCCTGCCACCGGTCGACCATCCGAGAAGGAAGTGTTTACTTGAGGTTTGGGGGAGGGGCGTTAGTTGGGCGTTTTTGAGACCAGGTCTCGCAGAGATATTTCTGCCTCTGCTTCCCCCACAGAGCGGGAATTGCCGCCTAGACTTACTGAAGTTTTTTTATGCGTACCCTAAGTGAAGAGCAAAGCTGCTTCCTTTTTAAACAGGTTGTTGTAAAGACTGAAAGAACACCGATTTCCTTTATTAACGTTGAGGCAAAAACAGGGTGTATACGTGAAAGCACTTTATACGATAGATAACACATCAGTCTCCTTTTCAAACGACCCATGGATTGGCATTTACCCTTTTAAAAAGCATTGGGACAAACCAACCTAACTTTCCTTTTCTTAGAGCCACATATTAAACCTTTCAATATTGTGGAATTATTAAAATTGGAAGGGCTTTAGAGAAAATAACCTTAAATGCTATAGTTTGCTTTGTTTCTAGAAAGGAATTTATGATGATGCAATAAGCAGCTTCTTCAGGAATGTGGATACCAGGTAAGATGGGATTAGTCACAAGGTATAATAGTCCTTTCTTTTCATGTCAACAGATGGGAAGGAATTCCCTAAAGGACTATAAAAACAGTCAGCAGCTATGATGGTGTCTGCTTTGTGTACTTTTCTCTTTTTTTTTTAACTTTTGAAAAAACTGTTGAGAATTTCATACGTGCATATAAGGTGTTTTGATCAAATCTACACCCACTCCCTCCCTTCCAACACCTCCCATATCTCCCCATCACTTTTTCTGACAACTTTGTTTTCTTTTTCTTTCTTTCTTTCTCTTTTTTTGGGGGGGCGTTTTGCTACTCTAATGTTCCCTCCCCCCCATCTGAAGAGGTAATCCTAAAATCTCTTAGGGATTAGATAAGAGTTCCCAAATACTTTTGACATTTTTGGCCTTTGGAAAACAGAGTATGTTGCTAAGATGCCCAAGGACATTTTGACTTTTAGCCAAGAAACTGGCTACTTTTCTTTGGGTTCTTTTTTACCTGAAGTGCCTAGCCAATTCCTACCTCCTATTCTTATCTCACCATCCTCTGAAGAGGGTACCCAAATTGCCAATAAGGAATCAGACACAGACTTCTCTGGCTTCTTCCATGCTGAACAGGGACACAGGGTGAGGCAATTGGGATACCCCTTCAGTGGGTCTATCTAAAAGACTCCCAAATTGCATAACTCTTATCTGTAGGGAGAAAAGAAAGTCCTTGACTGGTGAATAGGGCATGTGAAGGAGAAGTAAAGGCAAGAGTAGTTAGCATTACAAGTTCTAGACAGAGAACCAGGAAAAAAAGTCAGAACAGGGCAAATTTCAGATGTTCATATCAGAGTCCATTGGGATTTCTTTGACGAGAGCTTCCAAAAGCACCCCTCTATTGGGTTCCTCCTCATTTTTCTTTTGTTGCACAAGGCTGAACTCGAGAGTGATGGATTCAGGTTTTGTTTTCAGGCATTTTGATAGCTGTTGGAGGGGTTAGAATCAGTGTCAGTTCCCTCTCAAAGGCTTCTAAATAGGAGGAGAAAACAAATTTAGCCATCATTTTAGAATAATAGTGAGTTACCTCCCTTAGCTACAGGTGGGCACCATAGTATTGCAGACCAAGATTTGAAGTCTTACATCTGAGCAGCACTTTCTGCTTAGAAACAAAGTCATCAGTGAGAAATAATTGTCTAACACTTTATATGGACTTAAGCCTAATGTCTGGGAAGCATAATCCCTTGAACTCTTAAAAAAATACACTCATCACTTTAATCTTTGGTTATACTTTCCTTTTGGGTATTGAAGACCATACAGTTGGCCCAAATAAACCAATTTATTTTTACTCTTCAGGTCACTGGAGGATCTGTTCCTCAGGGGTCACATGAGCTTGGGAGGAGCCCCTGGCTCCTTTCTCTTATCAGTTCCATCTATGTGAAGATAAGTCAAAGGTCCTGCCCGACCATGCCTAGCTTCACTTAGAAGCATGGAGGAAATGTTTTCTCTGAGTTGACCCTCTTTGTAGACTGGACACTGGTTCAAGTCCATCTGATGGGTTCTCCCTGACCTCCCTGAACAGGAGGACAGGTGACTCACCACAGTTACAGGACATTTTGAGAGATGCTCCATAGTCCCCTGGAACTGTTCGACCTTGGAGGGCAAGGAACAAAAACCGTCCTTTAAGTCCCTCTGACCAAATTAGTATAGGCTTCAAAGTATGGCTGTTAAACATCCAAGAAGTTTAGTTCCACCAGTCTGGTACTTTTAATTGCCATGTGCTATGTAGATAAAGCTTGGGCAAAAACCAAACATTCTCAGATAAACATTGATTAGACATGCTTTATGTGCTCTTCTGATTGAAAGCTTACTAATGGCTAATTTTTGAAAAAAAAATTACATTGCCAATTATGTTTGTCATCAAGAGTATTTGCTCTTAGGGGTTGGAGGGATGGCTCAGCAGTTAAGACCACTGGCTGCTCTTGTAGAGGACCGGGGTACAGTTCCTAGCACCTACGTGGTGACTAGCAACTGTGCATAAGTCCAGTTCCAGTAGAGATCTGACACTCTGTTTTGGCTTCTGTAGGCACAGCATGCACATGGTGCACTTACACAGGCAGGCAAAGCACACAGAAAATACAGTACACATAAAAATAAAATTTTTAAATATACTAAAAAGAAGAGCCACTGTCCAAACTGCTTACAACAAAGATTACTGTTTAGTATGGAATGTATATATTATAAATCTTATTTTATCTGAAAGAGCAATTTAACTTTCATAACCTTTATATATATCCATAAACTTTTAATGTTAAATCATCAAGTTTATTCATTTTCAAAGTATTTCATAAAACCAACTATAGTGGGCTTGTGCTGACCTTTATAATTGATATTGGACTTTATTCTAATTCAGTAGAAATTTAGTTTGAATTTCCTTGACTAGGTGTTGGAGCTCTTCTAGGGAAATCTGAGTAATCTTCACTTTGTTGTTGAATCCTGGAGCCTCAAGCTTAGGCTTTCAAACTTGGAAAATGTATTATCTGTCCTTTGTCAGTGAGTCCACTGCTCTCCCATACAATCAGATTTGACAAATTCAAAGAAATGGGAGGTTAAAAGTGGAAAGCTAATGTAAGTAATGGCTAGTTACAGACTCAGGCCACATACTCATTTTACTTCATAAGCACATTCTCTTGGAGGAAGACTACCAAAGCTATGTAACAGTCATATAGTTGCATAGAGACCGTGGTATCAGACTAAGGAAAGTTAGGATATTACCATAATGGTGAGTGTTATCTTTACTGTAGGGAGATAGCTGTCATTTAGGCCATTTCCCTTACTTGGGGAACTGGTCCAATAGGAAACTTAACTTTGTCTTTGTAATATTTCCTGGAAGTGTTTCCCTGGCTAAGTTCGTGCCTCTACCCTTTCCTTTCTTGATAGCCACCTCTTTTGTTACTACATAGATGACTGGAACTAGAGGACAAGAGGAATTGAGAAGGGGGTGGGGAACAAAAGATCACATGACCTGAAAGTGGAGTGGAGCCTAACAGAGATAGAAGGGTAAAAGGGAAGGATGGGAAAGATGTGGGGGATAGAAATAGATTTGTTTGAGAAACACCTTAATGAAATCCATTTCCTTGTAAGCTAATGTATTACATAGTTGAGACACTGGTAGCTTTTCTTTCTTAATAAGATTATGTTGTATAATTTTCATCTACTCTGTTTGCCATATACTTTTAACCTGAGAACATATATTCCCAATACCAGGTTTAGAAAGGAAGAAGGGGTGTCACATCTTGCTCATCTCTGTTTTCTATCAGTACCTCTCTGTTCCACAAACTAGTACCAAAAACTCCTTTTCAATATGAGACTATATCTTTGTGTACACTTTTATCAAATTAGACCATTTGGCTGGGCATGGTGGAGTACACTTTTAATCCTAGCCCTCAGGAGGCAGAGGCAGGTGTATCTCTGTGAGTTTGAGGCCAGCTTGATCTACATAGTTCCAGACCAACTAGGGCTACAGGGAGACCCTGTCTCAGTTAACAAAACAAATTTTAAGCATTTAATAGCATGCTAGAAATTCATTTACAGCAGGGGGTTGCAGACTTTTTCCATGAAAAGCCAGGTAGTAAGTCCCATTAGTTCTATGGTGCAGATTCTCATCTGCCGGGGAGAGTTAAGTACATAAATGAATGGAAATGGCTGTGTTTCAATAAAGTTTTATTAGGAAAACAGCTCTTCAGATTTGGCCTGAGAATTACAGCTCATTGACTACTGGCATGTAATGTCTTTATTTAACTCACCTTCTCTTCATCTAGTCTGTCTTGTGAACTACATTGACCACACACTATGTCTTAGGTTTTAGCTTTTTCATAACTTATTTTCACTGTAAAATTCTAAAAACCATCTCTCTCAGTGGTATGTAACTCTGGTGTCTGTTGATGTGGTTGATGCAGCAGAACACTTAAACAATAAAAGTATCCATTTATCTCACACAGCTGGACATCAGATAGTCTAGTGTACAGAAATGCCTCAGAGACATAGTACCTAGGGCTGACAAGATGGCTCAGCACTCAAGGTGCTTGCCACCAAGCCCAATGGCCTGAATTGATGCCTTGAGTGAGAGCCAACTCCAAAAGTTGTTCTCTGACCTCCACACATGAGCCCATGACATATGCATGCTCCTTGCACACATAGAAATGGAATTCGAAACTTTTTAGAGACGTAGATACTATATATTATACCTCTCTCCTTAATGTGTTGGCTTTCGTCTTCATGTTTATTATTCCATGACTATAAAATAGCAGTCTATTTCGGGAATTACATCCATCATGTTTGAGGCAGGAAAAGGAAGAAATTGGGCCCTATCTGGTTCTCTTTATCAGGAAAGCATCTTGGAATACCACACTTTATCTAAATGGCTAAAACTGGATCACATGGTTAGTCTAAACTACAAAGAACACAAGTGACCTAAGCTCCTCACCTTTTTAGCCTAATGATAATAAATGAGAAGGAGGTTGGAAAGGACCTTTGTGTCTGCCTCATCTGGCCTATGCCCATCCAGCCCTACTGTGTGAAGGAAGCTAATGCTACTAGCCCTGGAAGAGCATGTATAAATTTCTCAATTTTGTTATCTTTCAGAGTGGTTGGTGATGGTGGCAGTATTTCCAAAGGAAAAATATCTTCCTTAAAAGCACGAGTAAGATTCATATTCTTGGGTTCTTAACATTTTAGTGTTTCTAAAATAGTTTTTTAGAACAATTCATGAGGCACCCATTTATTATTTGGGCATTTTTGCCTTTCTAATTTGCTTCAATTTTGAATGGTTCCTGTTGAGTTCTTTGGCAACTTCTCATATATGGGGGAAAAGTACAAAAATCTAGGAGGAGCATGTAATCCTAATGGCAAATTGTCCCTGCTTACATTTGCTGTGTCCTTTTTTGGTTTATCTATAGCTAATAATATGTCTTATATTCTTATTTTCAAAGCAGTGTAGGTATGTGCCATGTCAGTAGTCTTGGTTAATGAACTAGACTGTGCTTTACTTGGGAGAAGAGACCTTGTCTTCTTTGACATCTGTCCCATGCCTTGGCTTTGCACATAATACTAAGTTTATTCATTTGAACTGGCCATTTTTATAGCTGTTCCATTTTTATTCCTACTGAGCAAAAGCATTTTCTGGCCAAGATTATCTTCCAGACTACTAAAATCCTGTTGGAAATTCAGTTGAAGGGATTACTAAATTCTTATTTCTCCCTAGTTGCCTCTTTTAGCCTTAAATTATGAAAAAGAACAGTGCAAACTATAGCTCATGAGTCCCTGTTTTACAGAATAAATAAGGAAAATATGCCAAATTTAATTTCTCTTTTCAGGCTGTTTTGATTGACATGGAAGAAGGGGTAGTGAATGAAATTCTCCAAGGACCCCTGAGAGATGTATTTGATAGCAAACAGCTCATCACTGATATTTCTGGCTCGGGAAATAACTGGTGAGAGTATACTGAATATAAACATGGGTGTCATCTGGGAAGCACTCAGTATTCTTTCCTTTCTCCTAACTGTTCCTGTTGTAATGAGAGCACAGTGTAGTTTGCCATACATGCCTATCAACCTTCCTGCTTCATCTTAATAATAATTTGTAATTAACAAATTAAGATGTTTACAATGCTTGAAAGCTACCTGTATTTACTTTTGCTCCCAGTTCCTTCTAATTTTTTGACAGAAAAATGAATCATGGAAAATTAATAATGCTAAATTATTTGTAGATCAATTCTTAAATAGAACTGGATAGAATACTTTTTAAAACTATTCACATATATTATTTGATTCTTCATTTTGTCAGAATTACTAGATTGATAGAAAGATGCAAGCCTACCGGTATCCTTTTCAGACTGAGCCAGAGGCTCTTTGGGCCCTTTAAAAAATAATAGTCTCTTTAATGGGGGAAAAAATGCAGACCAGTAGTTATTTAAGAATTCCCCTTGAGGACTGGAGAGATGACTCAGCAGTTAAGAGCACTGGCTGCCCTTGCTGAAGACTTGGATTCAGTTCCCAACACCCACATGGTGGCTAACAACCCTCCTTAACTCCAGCTCCAGAGGATCTGATGCCCTTTTCTGTCCTCTGTTGGCATTACATGACACAGGGGCACTTACATGCAAGCAATATACTCATATACATAATATAAAAGTAATAAAACACTTTTTTAAAGAAAAGAATTCCTCTTGAGACTGTTTTGCTGTTGCTTTAAAATTAAATAACTCCTCATTTGCAAATCTCATTTTGTTTTTAATTTTAAGTATTTGCTACCAATCATTCAGGTTATGTATGGAGTGATACATAGTTCTGTTAAAGCATGAATTTGAATCTTATGTGCCAGGAGAGTAGAGACAACTAGTCACTTAAAAATTGAGCATGAATTTGAATCTCATGTGCCAGGAGAGTAGAGACAACCAGTCACTTAAAAATTGAGCCTTCCTGACTCCCCACCTGATTTTTCTCTAGTTGTCTTATAAAACTAGTTATATGATGTTTGAATTTTAGTAAACTACATATAATGGGAAAATCATTTTTTTTATAATGTGTCATAGTGATACTTCCAGATTTAATCAGCAAAAGCAGCAGTCTTCTGACTATCAGTTTTCAACAGTTTGCCATTTTCATATGATAATCATGTTAACCAGGTAAACTAATTCAGTATTTTTCATTTCTGTATCTGTGTAGTTGGCCTCATTCTGTATTTTAATATGTAAATTTACTATAGTTTAGCGTTTACATGGAAACCAAAAAAACTAATTGAATTCTTACTTTGTTATAATTTATCTTAAGAGAAAAACAGAAGATAAAATTAGAAAACCATAGGTAATATCTATTGATAGCTCATCAGGACATTTGAGAAATATTGGTATGTAATATATGATAAATAGGATTTGTTACATGGAAGAATAGATTTCTTACTATAATTACAATACTTTTTCAATTGTTCCTTAAATGTTTTTTATTTCAAGCAGAAAGATGAATATCAAGAAGTAATACTTGAAGGATTTTTTTTTTTTTCTAACTTGTTTTCTTATTTTCAGGGCCGTGGGTCACAAAATTTTTGGAAATCTTTACCGGGAACAGATTTTAGAGAAACTCAGGAAGTCAGCAGAGCACTGTGATTGCTTGCAGTGTTTCTTTATAATACACTCCATGGGAGGAGGTAACATTCGTTCGTTTGCCTATGAGATTAACATGCAAATGGGAATTCATTCTGCAAACATAAGTTTTGTTTTTAAGCCTGTACTTGATAAACATAAAACTAGCAGTTATGTTCAACATTTTCACCTTGAGATACAACATTGTTATACATAGTTCATGTTCAAGGACCACACAGTCCGTTTACAAATCTCATGCTGTTTCCAGTCTTGTTTAGAACATTCATAGCCAGGTTGGGATACATGGGTCCATGAAATTCAGGTTGGACATACCTGATAAGAGTCTATGTATGCTTCAGTGTTTATACATTTCTGCTTTTTAATCTTAAAACTTTGTGAAATTGGGGCTGGGGAGATAATAGATCATTGGGTAAAGTGCTTGCTTTGCAAGCATGAAGACCTGAGTTTGATCCCCTGAACCCACATAAAAAAACTGGGTGTGGCCCCATATGCTTGTAATTCCAAAATGAAGGAGCTAGAGACACCAGAGCCCTGTCCTCACTGGCCAGCCTCCCCTGCTTGGCTGGCTCCAGGCCAGTAAGAGTCACTGTCTCAAGCAAAAATGTGGAGGGCACCTGGAGAATGAAAGCTGAAGTTGTTCCCTGGTCTCCATATGCACACACATGCACATGCACACAGGAACACAGACACAGAAGCAATTGTGAAATTGTTACAATTACCAATTTTCTTTTTTAAGATTTTGAATGTTCCACCTTTACAGTTACAATATTTTCAGCCACATTCCAGTATAAGTGAGCGTTTGAGAAATGCTGACTCTTAAAGTGTGCTACTTTGTTCCTTTATTCAACTAGAGCTGAACTGTTCTGGCATTGTGTATGCTTGCCATTGTAAAAACATTAATACACTTTATTAACCGCCTTCTAACCTTTCACATCTCCAATAAGAATAAAAAGAATAAAAGAAATTATTTTAGTCAGTTCCTTGAAATCGCCCATAATGTTAATTGACTTGAACTAGAAACATATGGTCTTCATTGCTTTGTTTTCCCAGATAAGTCTGTAACTTCAAGTGTTTTCTTCTCCTGTTTACAAAATAGAAACAAGGTGATTTGTTAATTTTAAAACAATAATATTAACAGGGTTTAAAAGAAAATTTAACTATACTTTCTAAAAACTGAGATTAAGATGTTCTGGGGCTCAGTGCATATAGTGCTTGCCACCAAGCCTGGCAACCTGTGTTTAATCCCCAGGGCCCACATGGTAGAAAGAAAGAATCAATTCCTGCAATTTGTCCTCTGACCTCCGCACACATGCCACAGTGTGCACATGAAATAATTCACATTATTTTTTAATATTTTTATTTTCTATTTACCTATATGTGGTGTCTGTGAGTGTGTGCCATGTGTCTGGATGCCCATGGAGGACAGAAGGAGACATCAGATCCCCTGGATTTAGAGTTACAGGGGATTGTAAGCCCAACATGGGTGCTGGGAACCAAGCTTAGGGCCTCTGGAAGAGTGGCTAAGCACCCTTAACTGCTAAGCCATCTCTCCAGCATGAGAATTTTTAATTTTGGGTGATGTTACTAATGTATGCACCCTTCTGTAATATGGCAACAATTCATATTGGCAAGAGCATATAAGTTTCTTCATATATTATTGTTAAACATTACCCCCAACCCCCAGAAAATCTCTCATTTTCACCTGGTATTTTTAGTATTGTGATCTTGTAATATTTATCTTCATCATTTAGACTGGTGCAATAGCCAGCCTTTTGACATTGTAACATGATGTTGTCATCTACAAAGTTCACAGTCACGAACCAAGCAGTTGAGTTACAAAAAGAAATCACGAAAAAGTCTCATAATGTCTTAAGTGAGTTTCTGGTTTTATGTTGGGCTGCATTCATAGCTACCCTTGACCTCATGCAGCCATTGACCCACATGTTGGATATACCTGTGTTCGTTGGCTTTAAATTTTAACCACAATCAGTAATGTGTATATAAATTTTGTAGACCAGCACAGCATGCATACACACTGTAAAAGAAGACTCAGAAAACTATCCGTACTGCATTTGACACATTGCTCTTCTACTGTTTCACTTTTAAAAATTATCAGTCTGAACTGTTTCATAGGGGACTTACAGGATTATAGCTTTCTCCTTTAAGTTCTTAAAATTTTCTGAATTTATATAAATGTAACTTTATCAGAAAATTATCTTTAATGAAATTTCTAGAGTTTCTACTTTAAAATAAGTAATGATAGCATGTTTAAAAATTCAGGGTGGACATGCTTAATTATAAACAATTTTTAATATTTTATTTATATTTTTTATGTGTGTTTCCTGCGTGTGTCTAAGTGCACCCATGTCATACAGTGCCCACAGAGGTCAGAAGAGGGCTTTGGTTTCCCTGGAACTGGAGGTACAGCTGGTTGTTAGTCACCATGTGGGTGCTGGGAACTGAACCCCGGTCCTCTGCGAGAGCAGCCAATGTTCTTAACCCCTGAGCCATCTCTCCAGCCCCTTAATTGTAAACAATTTTATTCAGTGTTTTAAGTTGCTTGTTTTCTGTATCATTGAGACTATATCTCCACACAAAAGCTGTCTACACATAATAGCCTTTTTTTTAAGTTACTTAATATCAAGTATGCTGTTTTAGTTGAAATTTTCATATCCAAATAATTTTTGTTGTTGTTATCTAATGTCTTCAAAATAAAAAAGAATGAAATAGAGAAAACCATTCCAGACTCATGGTCAAAGCCTGGGATGAAATTCAGGACTTGAATCCTGGCTGCCTTCATTGTCCTCTTAATCTGAAATTAGGTTAATGTGGGAATGTGGGATCACAGGAATGAGTTGAAAATTAGGAGATCCTTTGAATTGGTCAAAGCCTGGGATGAAATTCAGGACTTGAATCCTGGCTGCCTTCATTGTCCTCTTAATCTGAAATTAGGTTAATGTGGGAATGTGGGATCACAGGAATGAGTTGAAAATTAGGAGATCCTTTGAATTACACCTTTTTTTTTTTTTTTTTGGTCTTTTTGAAATAGGATCTCCCTGTAGCCTCAGCTGGGCTGGAACTATCTATGTAGACCAAGACCAGGCTGGACTTGAACTCACAGAAATCTACCTGCCTCTGCCTCCTGAGTGCTGGGGTTAAAGGTGTGCACCACCATGCCCAGCTTCTCTGAATTATACTTTAAATCATTATGCTATTTTCTTTTTAAATTTTAATTCTCAGGAACAGGGTCTGGACTTGGCACATTTCTTTTAAAGGTGCTTGAAGATGAATTTCCAGAAGTATACAGATTTGTGACATCAATTTATCCTTCCAGCGAGGATGATGTCATAACCTCCCCTTACAACAGCATGTTGGCAATGAAGGAACTTAATGAACATGCAGACTGTGTGCTGCCCATCGACAACCAAGTGAGAAATGACACTGAAACTTATGGGGAGATTTTTGCATATGTTTAGTTCTGTTATATGCTTATGTGTTTATTCAATATTCTCTTCACTTTTTAATCTCCATCCAAGGAAAAAACAAAAGGCTTTAATTGGGCTTTTTTCTCTTTCTTTCTGAGTAAAATATCATGTAAGTCACTTTTATTAATAGTTTTCCAATATTTTTTTTTCTCAAAAGTCTTTATTTGACATCATTAGCAAAATTGACTCCGTGGTAAATTCTGGAAAGTTGGGTACAACTGTGAAGCCAAAGAGTGTAATTACTTCAGGTGCTGGGGCTATTAAAAAGCAGCACAAGAAGCCCTTTGATGCAATGAACAACATTGTGGCCAATCTGCTCCTCAACCTGACGAGGTAACTCCCAGGTCACTGAAAACTTCACTGTACCTGTGATGGTTTCAATTTTTGTAGTAGTGTCTGTGCTCATTCATTGGTTTTTACAGTGCTGAGTACTGCACCTAGCACTACACGGAGCCATAGACCCAACCCAGTAGCATTTTCCACTTACTCTAAGTTGTCAGAGCTACTTTTATTTCTGTCTTCTGTTAATACGTTCTTCTGTTGGGTGATAGACTAGAACTTTAATTCTTGTGACTCCAAGGCAGCATCCAAGTGCACTCAAAGAAGTGTCAGTGAGTGGTCACTGATCAGCAGCTTCGTGGTGGGTATCCTTGAGATACTCTTAGACAAAATTAACTTTTGTTCATTCATGTGAAGTCTCTTTAGTCTTTTAAGCTAGTTAATCCACACATCTTTGTTAGCTGAGTCAAAAGATTTTGTGACTTCGATCTCAAATTTCTTGGCCATTATTCTAGATTATGAATGTATTGAGCAGACCCTTAATAAATTTAGTAAAACTTCCACAGTAAATAATTGACCTATATGTGTTTAGCTCAATATAAAGTCTCTTTCAATAAGATAGTTTTACAGGTGTGATGATAGGTATAATGATGTCAGTTATGCTTCAGGTAATCTAGAAGTAAGAATGGCTAGACATTATATGTTGTGTTTTAATTAGCCGTTTACATAATTGTTCATGATACTAAAATTCAGTAATACAGAAAAAACCATTCTGCCCTGATCAGTGTAACAAAGTATTTGAGAAAATACCTGCTGAACAGATTCCAAGTTACAGTTTTTACATGAAAATTTTTCTCATTTTTCTAACGTTGATCTTTTAGCTCTGCAAGATTTGAGGGTTCCCTTAATATGGACCTTAATGAAATCAGCATGAATTTAGTCCCTTTTCCTCAACTTCATTATCTTGTGTCAAGCCTAACACCTCTGTATACACTGGCAGATGTTAACATTCCTCCTAGAAGGTAAGTTATAACTGAATTCCAGCTTCTTGAGAACTTGAAGTACTATTTTAAGTGAAAAAGGATTGCATTAACTCGGGTTATTTACATCATTTTATTGGTGAGAAGTATATAAAATACAGTTGATGACCGCCATTTCTCATTAGGTGAATATTTAGAAGTAAATTGCTTTAAAATAGTATTAAACTGAAATTAAATCTAGTAACTAAGCTTTTGAAAATTACTAGACTCTTGACTTAAGTCTGAATCCTAATTTCTGTCTCTTGCTGTAGGACCTTGGGCAGGTATTTTAAGCTTTTCATCTTACTGTTTCTCATATGTTTGTTGGATAGCGGAAATAATGGTATGTTTTAAAGCTGCTATTGCAGCCTAGCACCACAAAAGGCTTTTGTATGGTAGCCACTGAATATCATTTCCAGAACACCTTGTTTTGTAATTATTGTCATTTCTTAAACATGAGGTTTTATATCAATCTACTTAACAACAACAACAAAAAAAAATGTGGTTTTAAAAGATGCTCTTAGTGGCTGGAGAGATGGCTCAGCAATTAAGAGTACTGACTGTTCTTGCAGAGGACCTGGGTTCAGTTTCAGCATCCACACGTCAGCTAACTACCATCCATAACCCCAGTTCCAAGGGATCCAACATCATCTTCTGGCCTCCACAGGCATTGCATACATGTGGTGCACTTATGTACATGCAGACAAAACACTCATAAAATAAAAATTAACTAATGAGTTAATCCCAGCACTCAGGAGGCAGAGGCAGGTGGATCTCTGTGTGTTCAAGACCAGCCTGATCTACATAATAAGTTTCAGGACAGCCATGAGACACACATACACAAAAGATGCTCTTAGGCTGGGCAGGGTAGTCCATACTTATAGAACCAGCACTTGGATAGAAGGATGTTCATGAATTCCAGACCAACCTGGGAAGCCATAATAAGTTTGAGGCCACCCTGGGCTACATAGTTAGAGTGTGCCTAATAAAAACCAAAAGAAGATACTTTTAGCATAATAATGGTGAGCTTAAAGCTTGCACTAAACTCACTGTTGAAAGGAAAAAGATGGTCCTGCCAAACTCTTAAAACGAGACTATATAAAAGAGAAAGGGAAAATTTTAGATTCTTTTTTTATTACATTTGTATGTATTATTTTGTGTGTATGTGTGTAAGTATGTGGGTACATTTCATGGTATGTGTGGGGGCAGAGGACAACTTGTAAAAGTCAGTTTTCTCTGTCCTGTGGGTCCTGGGAATCGAACTCAAGTTGTCAGGCTTGGCAGCAAGCACTTTTAACCCACTGAGTCATCTTGGCAGCCCAAAGATTTTTTTTTATTTTAAGACTTATTTTTAATTAGATATATATGTATGTGTTTGTGTGTGGATATGTGCACAAGAGTGCAGTTACCCAAGGTGGCCAGAGGTCTCTGATCTTGAGCTGGAGATATAGGTAGTTGTGAGCTGCCCAGTGTAGGTGCTGGGAATTAAACTCAGGTCCTTTACAAGAGCAGTATGCATTCTTAAGCAAAGCACTGAGCCATCTCTTCAACCCTCAAAGAGTCTTTTTTATAGTAAAAATTTTGGCAAGGTAACAATTCTGTGCTTCAGGAATATCACAGGTGATAGTGACTTTAGAGAAGACATACAGTGCATGGATTGTTATGATCACTGAACACTCACCAGTATTAGCCAACATGCCATGTTTAAGGAGGAACATTTTAATGTGGACACGCAGGTATAAACTGGCAGTAAACTATTTACTGTCTAGCAGTGGAATTCAGACCTTTTTATTTTTCAGGCTGATGCTTTTAAAAGTAAAGACATAATTTCTAAGTTCAGCATTGAAAAAAGAACATGCTTGACTCGGTCCTCCAACTTGAATTTTTCAAAGTCAATGAAATGTTTATACTCCTGTTTGGTTTATTTTGATAAAAATAATACTTGTATCAGCAATTTTTTTACTTTTTTTAATATTTATTATTTTTATTTTATGTGTATGAGTGTATTGCCTGCATGTATGTGAGTGCACCCGTGTCGTGCAATGCCGTGGAAGTCAGAAGAGGGCTTCGGATTCCCGGAACTGGAGTTAAGGATGGTTTTCATAGCTGCCCTGTGGGTGCTCTTAACGGCTGAGCCATCTCTCCAGCCCTCTTAATATTTATTTTTATTTTATGTGTATGAGTCCAGAAATGTGTGCAAGTGCACTTGTGTTAGTAAAATTCCATTAAGTGTTATACTTAAATAATTTGACAGATACTCTTTTATTTAAGAGTTTAGTGGGTTTCGTTTGGTTTTCTGTATCTACTCTACTGTAGATAATCCAAAGGCTGTAACATCAATGTATCTTTCCATTGTATAATTACATTTAGAAGAAAGAAATAAATTGTATAAATGGTGACTCTTTCCGTAGATTGGACCAGATGTTTTCAGATGCCTTTAGTAAAGATCACCAACTAATTCAAGCAGACCCCAGACATAGTCTCTACCTTGCCTGTGCTCTCATGGTTAGAGGAAATGTACAGATTTCAGATCTTCGCAGAAATATTGAAAGGTTTGGTTTTTATTTCTCAAGGTAAACTACATGTACAGTTTGGGACACTGTCATATATAATAGTTAAGTCAGCACGCCTTTCTTCAGCTTACGGTAAAATATGACCCTGGATGAGTAATTTAGCAACTTTGTGCCTTCTTTTCTGTAAATATGCAATAGAAATAATAATAGAACTGACTTGTTATTCATGAACACTAAATGATGTATAAGATATTTTCATTACATTGTCTGCTGATGCTAATAATAAAAAATAGCATAGATTGTAAACTATGCAATTTGAAGGATGCTCCTACTAATGTCCTTGTTTAACTTATGGGCTGGGTTGCATAATATGACATTTTTAGTACCTTAGTTCTCACCTGTTGGTTTTATTTCTCAGACTAAAACCTACCCTGCAATTTGTCTCCTGGAATCAAGAAGGCTGGAAGACTAGCCTGTGTTCAGTACCTCCTGTGGGCCACTCTCATTCATTATTAGCTTTAGCAAACAACACGTGTGTGAAACCTACCTTCATGGAACTGAGAGAAAGGTTCATGAGGCTCTACAAAAAAAAGGTAATTACACACCGTTCTAATTATGATTATTTTGGCTATGATGTATTACACCATTAGAAGTCAGGGCTGAAGTTGTTCAGTCTATTCATTGTACCAGTTATAACCACAGAGGAGCAGTTACTTACATGCTGTTTCCACTCAAAGAAATTTCCTGAATTCATAGGATTTAGACAAAATACTCTTTTTTTTTAAGAAAGATATGTCTTCTTTGACAGTTTCATACATGTATATATTTTGATCATATTTACCCCCCATTACCTTTCTCACCCTCCCCCCACTCCCTTTGTACCCCTTCTTCCTAAGAAGCTCCCTTCCTACTTTCCTGTCTTTTTAATGACCCACTGAGGTTAGTGTTGTGTGAGCATGGGTGTAAAGTTATTTATGAAGCATGGACCACTTACCAGTGACTACACCACTGAAGAAAAATGACACTCTCTTCCCCAATGACATTAATTGTCAATAGATCTTTGGCTAGGAGTGGGGCCGCTATGCTGCAGTGTTGACAGGCTTAATCTTACACAGGTCTTATGCAGGCAACCACAGCTACTGTGAGTTTATAAGCTCAGTGGCCATGTCATGTCCAGAACACAGCTTTATTCCTCCACATACTTTCTGCCTGATCTTCTGCAATGTTCCCTGAGCCTTCTGGGGGAGGAGGTGGAATGAGAAATAGGTCCCATTTAGGAATGAATACTCAGTAGTCTCCTATTGTCCACACTTTGACCCATTGTGTGTCTGCATTAACTGCTGTCCACTGTAAGAAAAAGCTTTACTGACCAAAGTTGAGAGCAACACTAATCTACTGATATAAACATAATATTTAGAAGGCAGTTTGACATGCCTTTTTATCAAAACAACAGCAGTAGCTTCCCATTCCAGGGCCTAGGATCTCCCCAGCCGTAGGTTTTTGACCAGTTTACAGTACCAGGTATGTATTCTGTCCTGTGGAGCTGACCTCAAATCCAATCAGAAAGTGGTTGGTTACCCCTCTATCAGTCATGCTATTGTCATACCAGTGGACCTGTCATCAGGCAGAATATTCATTTGACTTAAGTTCTTGCTTCCATTTTAAAGATGAATGCCTTACAATTTTTTAATGTATTCTTACACAGTTTCATTCCTATACATTTGATTATTCCCCCATTATCCTCTTTTTTTTTTTACATTTTATATTGTTGTTTTATGTGTATGAGTTTATTGCCTACATGGCTGTAAGTGCACCTGTGTTGTGCAATGCCCACAGAGGTCAGAAGAGGGCACTGGATCTCCTGGAACTAGAGTTAGGGATGGTTGTTCGCCGCCATGTGGGTGCTGAGAATCATGCCCAGGTCCTCTGCAAGAGCAGCCAGTGCTCTTAACCACTGAGTCATCTCTCTAGACCCCTGTACTGCTAAGCCCCTTCTGTTTCCCATCAGGTCGCTCTCCCTTCATGTCTTGTGTGTGTGCCCCACTGCATTTCATCAAGGCTGCTCATTGTGTGAGCATAGGGGTGCATAATTTTTAGTTTTGCAAGGGCCACTTAGCAGTGACTACACTACTGAGGAATGACTCCCCGTCCCCCAGCAACTAGTAACTGCTTATAGCTCCTCAGGGAAGGGTGAGTGAATGACTTATAATTTTAACTAAGAGTATTTATAAGATAGTTGTCTGTATTGTAGTTCCTAAGGTGCTAAATGTTGCCTATTTTTTACTTACAGGCTCACCTCCATCACTATCTGCATGTTGAAGGAATGGAGGAAAGCTCTTTTGCGGAAGCTGTGTCGTCTCTGTCAGCACTCATACAGGAGTATAATGAGCTTGATGCCACAAAGAGCATGCCTGTGCAGGATGTACCTAGGCTGATTGTGGCTGTGTGAATGAAGAAACCAAAAAATGCAGTTGTACTTTCTTCTGACTCACATGGGGGTTGTCACCTTTCTGTTCCAGTAGTTTTGTGATCCAGAAAGCCCAGTTTGTTTTTCAGAGGATCTGGAAATATTTTTTTTTAAGAATGGTTTCAGGGCTGCAGAGATGGCTCAGTGGTTAAGATCACTGGCTACTCTTGCAGAGGAACCAAGTTCAATTCCCAGCACCCACATGGCAGCTTAACAATTGTCCTAACTCCAGTTTCAGGGGATCTGACACCCTCTTCTGACCTCTGCAGGCATTGCAGGGCACGGGTGTGCTTACACACATACACTCATACACATAAAATAAAAATAATAAATTGTTCTTTAAAATGTTTTCTCTTTTATCACAATAAAGAGAGTTTGTTGGTAAATGTAAAATTAGTGAAGTCCTACTACCTTCACCTCTATCAACTTACCAAAATTTAATATAACAGAGAGCCAGTCACAGTGGTTCACACCCACAATCCCAGCACTTGAGAGGCTGATGCAAGAGAATTGCAAGTTTAGGACGAGTCTGGGCTGCATAGTGAGACCCTGGGTAGAATGGATTAATGAAACAGTCCTTAGCAGTTCGCTTTATTTATAGCTTCATATGACCTTTATACACTGATAAGCATGTCTCAGTAGATCTTTTATACATATATTTTATATTTATACTTTGATTTGATATTCTGTTTAAATGATCCTAAAAAAGTAGGTCCTAGAAGTAGAAGAACACGATATGAATATTTCTGTGTAACGTCCACGAACTTTTTAGGGGTAGTTTTTATTACAACTATTAAGGAAACTTTCATTCTATGAGTAATAACTCATTTTTATTTGAAAGAACCACCATTTAGACATTTAACATGTATATGTACTAAATTATTTTTAAATACTGCTTATCAAACCAGTCAATTTTATAATAAACTATTTTAAAGGAAATTCTTCAATGATTTATTTTTATTTGTACAAGTGTTTTGCTTGCTTATATGTATGCCTAGTATGTGTACTACAGTGCCCGGAGAGGCCAGAAAAGGGAGATGGAGCTGCTATGTGGGTGCTAGGACTCAAACTGGAGTCCTCTGCAAGAGCAGTAGGTACTCTTGACCCCTGACCTGCCTCTGCAGCCCCAAAAGTTCATTTTTAGACAGTGCTGCTTGTCATTGTTCTGAATGTCGCCATTCATGTAAGTGAACAGAGGATTAGGAGGTGTGATACCTTCATCTGAACTCTGCAAAGGGTGGCAACCAGTGAAATCCGTCCAGTTACTAGAATTCTTGTGAATTCTTGTCATAGGTTCATATTTCAGATCAGTTGGTTGATTTACCTTTCAAGGAAATATGTTTTGGGAAAAATTTATTTCAAGCAAAAATAATCTATTGTGTCCTTTTTGAGTGAATATTTTATCTCCTTTGTAAAGTAATGGTGCTGGTCTTGGTTTTTACTTTGGAAGTACAGTTTTTTATAGTATCTGGTATGAAAACTGCTATGTTACAATTGTTAGCAGCACTCAAAGAAGTTCTGTTTTCTCCTTCCTAGAAGAATCTTAACTGACACTCAGGATGAAGCAGTGAAAATTATAGGCATCTTTACAGTATAAAATCTTATTATTTTTAAGAATCTTGCTCTCCCTATACTGATTATCATCTGATAGGATCTAATAGATTTCATTGCCAAGTATAGAATAAATTTCTAAATTTAATAAACCTTTTTATGTATCATTGTAAAAATGTCATTCTTGTAAATTGTGTTTTTTCATCATATATAGAATGCTTACATGGTGCCAGTTATTACATAGTTATAGGATATTTTAATGTTTTCACATTTTTATTTGTTTTTCTTGGAGAACAATTTATTTTTTAGAAACTTCTAATGCCATAAATACAATGACCAGAGGATGGTTATGTGTTCTTACTGTTTTAAATCCATTGATTTTCTATCCTTTTATAACCATTCTGGTTTTTTGGTTATATGACATGATTGACTTAACTTTAACTTTGCCCCCATCTGTTTGGCTTTATAGAATCTTGAGCTCAGAAAATACATCTCCAGGTTCTCTGCAGTTTCTCTGACATACACAGGATGTAATCCAGAGCATCTTCCACTTAAATGACCCTTCGTTTGGACAGTCAAATTGAACGGTGATCATTTTAGACTTGTTGGGGATGCAGCATCTCTTATCCAGACATATTCCACAAAAGGTAGGTTTGTAACTCTGAGTACTTGAGCATCCAGAAAAAACAAACTTTTCGGCTTTAGAGAGTTGGAAAGTAGGTTGACATGTTTTTCCTTTGGGGATCTGAAAAAATACACACAGTTAAGAAACCATCTTTAAATTTGATTACAGTAGCTGAAATAGAACACTTTATAGCAGTCAGACAAATAGGATTGTTTCTAGAGCACTAAGTGCACCTTCTGCCGGTACGCTCTTTCTCTAAATCTCCTCTCACTGGAGGTCTGGCGTTCTATTCTTGCTCCATCACATCAGATTCTCTGCCCAGTGTTTGTTGCTCAGCCCTTTATTCAATTCTACAATAAATAGAAATTTATCTTGTAAGGGCTATGTCGTATTAACTGTTTACCTAAGACAGCAAATTCCCTAACCAACTTAATTTGAGTGGATGTGTAGATGGGTGAACATCTTAATCCCTTTAAAATTGGATTGTCAATTTGATAGTATCATAGAGACCTTGAGACTAAGATAGAATTTATAGCATTTCTAAAACTTAATTATTTAAAAATAGTTCAAGAAATAGGACCAGCTCTGGTTTTATACCAAGCAGTTTTAGGGTAACTATTTTATCAGGGTCCTTTGGCAAGTTTTCTCTCTATAAGCACAAAGCATTTTGGTGTTGTCCACCTCCAAGATGGTAATATGTAACTGATCAGAACTTCTCTAATCTTTCTTAATACCCATTTTCATAACTATGGTATAGCAACCTAAATTTTATATTCATTACTTTGATTCCACTTCTACAATTAATATAGAAAAATCAAAAGTGCCAGGCATGGTGGCGCATGCCTTTAATCCCAACACTTGGGAGGCAGAGGCAGGCGGATCTCTCTTGAGTTCAAGGCCAGCCTGGTCTACATAGTGAGTTCCAGGACAGCTGGGGCTACAGGGAGACCCTGTCTCAAAAAGACCAAAAAAACGAAAAGAAAATTCAAAAGTTAGAATCTGAAAGAATCTACTGTTAAGGAGCAATTTATATGGAGGGCTGCAACAAATCAGGCTGATAGACCCACATTACTAAGCTCACAGACCGTCTAGAATCAGTAGGCTAACAACCACAAGGAGACGTTTTCCCTACAAGGCGCAGTTAGATTAATGTTTCCTTTGAGATAATTTGACTTTAAGAGTTGCAGTAAGGTAACCAAACGCTGCCCCTCCCTGCAGAATGTATTGCCAAGTATAGAATAAATTTCTAAATTTAATATACCTTTTTATGTATCATTGTAAAAATGATGTCATTCTTGTAAATTGTATGTTTTTTTCACATACTTACTTTTCAGGAATTTCCTGAACTAATTCCATCTAGTTATACTTTACCTCCACTGTCCTTGATACATTACTGTTGCAGGGCTGAATATAGCACAGTCTCCTCTCCCTTCTCATTTCACAGTTGCCATTGTCATTGGTCACCCTGTTAGATATTCCCATTCCACACGTTCTAGAACATGGAGTCCACTTTGTTGCTTGCACAAGACATTTTTTTTTCCAAGTAAGTGGGAGATTCCTGTAAGCTAAAATAAATAGGAAAGTGCCTATGTATACATATATGTACTTACAGAAACTTGGTTTTTAAACTTTAAATTAATATTTAGAAGTGCGGAATCTTTGTTTGTTTTTTTTTTTAATAAAAGAATAAAAGCGTATGTTCTAATTCATTTTTCTCCAGTCTAGTTTCTTAGAAGAATGAAAGTTTTTATCTTTACCCACTTGCATCATCTGTCTAGCTCATCTCTGAAACCTAAGCTTCTCTTCCAATCAGTGCATGTCTTTCTTTGGTTTTGCCTCATGCTTGGCATATATTAAAATAAATATTGGTAGGATTAGAGAATTCAAGACATTAATTAGAATAATGTGATCTTTTTTTTCCCCCCTGAGACACAGTTTTGCCACATGACTCAGGCTGTCTACTTTGCAGCCCTTCTTTCAAGTGTTGGGGGCATGCACTACCATGCCTGATGGAATAGTATGGTAGTAGTGTTGAAATGTCATGTCAAAATATAAAATATAAAAATTATATTTGAGAACTAGGCAATAAAACCAATTTTCTTCTACTTTTTAAAATTTAGTCTTAGAAAATTTGTGTATGTATGAGCCTCAGCATGCATGTTGAAATCAGAGGACAACTTGATGAAATCGGTTTTCTCTTCCCGCTTTTATGTGAGCTCAGGGTTGGAACTTCGATCACCAGGCTTGCACAGTGAGTGCCTTTACCTGCTGAGCCATCTCACTAGCCCATCTTAGAAAATTCTAACAAACTGAATGCTATACTACACTAAATAAATTTTATATGCTAAATCATTGCAAATTTGTAATCTCATTCATCTAACTTCACTTAAAATCACCTATGAAATACAGTTCCAAGGGAATCTGAAGCCCTCTTCTGACCTCCAGCATTGCACGACACGGGTGCACTCACATACATGCAGGCAACACACTCATACACATAAAATAAAAATAATAATTTTTTTTTATTATAATCTCCCATCTCCATGAAAAACAATTGAAGATTTTTATTATACTTGAGTGAATCAGGCCTTTGGTTCATTTTAAGCAAATTTAAATGTCTCCAGGCATTTCCATGAACTTAATGTACATACTAAAATAGATACTTAGGGAGTAAGGTTGTGATTTAAGTCCCCAGTTCAGCATAGCAAAGTTCTATATGCAGAATTTCAATTTAAAGCTGAAAAGTGAGAAAAATATTTGCTAGAAAATAGCCACTTTGGAATGTGTACTGGGGGATTAAAATGATAGCAGGATGCCACTTTCAGTGTTACATGAAAAGATCTTGCAACTGCTCATAATTCTGAGCAAGAGGAAGCAGAAACAGGAAAACACCTGGAAGACTGAACAGTTTATAAAGACTTCAGTGCAGAGAGCAGATTAGAAGCCTGGCACACATCTGCAATAAATAAAAGTAGGTTAGGTTATTGAATTACTAATAACCCTGCCTTCAGTTAAAGCAAGGCCTGCCTGCAGCTCAGGAATTTGTTTAACATTCATTAAAAAGCAAAGAAATGAAGAGATTACTAAACATAAAAGCTTAGTGTTCATGAGCATTGAGAAAAGCAGGGCACTGCACTGTGTCACTGTTTGCTTCGCACTGACCCAGCAAAAGCTATATCCCAATATAACATGTTATTTATAAATACATCTTAAAGTGTGTACTTTGATCCATGTTAATTATGAAAGCCAAATTCCTCTGTGGGACATAGATGTTAACAGTTAAGCAAAGGAAAGACATTGTGGCCTGAGCTTTAGCTTCTTTGAAATATTGAGACCTTAATTCCAAATACCAGAAAGTTGGGATACTTTCTCCGTTCTTTGTAGCAAATCACTGAACACTAAGAATGACCATCCTGTTCCTCCCTGAATCACACTCCTACTGAGTCTACTCAGACTGCTCCAGCTCCATACATGAAACCATGGAACTTGGTCCAAAAGCTTTACTTGTGGAAAAATGCTGGTGCTCTGAGGTAGTCTGCAGGGCGAGTCTTTCTGGAGTTCTAAGAGCCTTCTGTTGATCCTATGCAGAAATCCACTGTTCCTGTGTGTGCTTTGAAAAAGAAGCCATTTGGTAAATGAAAATGTGATTCTGGTTGAGCAGATACTTAGGATATACAGGGCCTTGGGTTCAATCCCCAGTACCAAAGTAAGAAAGTAAAAAGGAACAGTCCAGCTTACCATTTCAGAGGTCTTAGAACATTAGTAGTGCCATACTGTTAGCTGAGTAATTATGTATGGTAATAAACCTGGAAAACTTTTTTCAAATTAACTGACATAACTGGAGTGTCTAAGGATGGGTTTGTTTTTTTTTTTTCATAGTTTTCAAGTGTCTGAAACTCATTTCTCTAAGAAAATTTTATTGACTATCAACATAATAAAAGTGAGCTTAGAAGAATTACTGTCCTGAAAATACCCTGGCATTTGAGTAAGATGTTAAAGCAGACCAGAAACCATTCACACCTGCAATTGACAGGGTGTTCAAGATAAGCAATAAAGAATCTTATTTCACTTTCTTGACTACATACATGGGTTACCTACTTTAAAGTGAAAGAAAAGACTTTGTTTCTGTTTGAAAAAAGTTCAAAATACATTAGTCCTCAATTTTTTTAATAATCAGCTTTCCATTTCTGCTAATACCATGTTGAATGTTTTAGGATCTGCACACTTCTTGCCCATAATAGAAGAATACAAATAAAAGTCCTTTCAAGGTACATGTGAACAGTATTTGGTCAGTTTTCCTGAGAAGGTGAAGGTAGGCAGAGGTAAAAGATTTTAGAAGTTTTTCTGATCTAGCAGATTTTGTTCACAAAAATCTAGAATATTATTTCCTTTTCAAACACTTAGAATATATCTGCCTGAGGCAGAATGCGGTGACACACTCCCTCTAAATTGCATTCTGACTGCCAAGCAGTAAGTTCTTTATGAAAGAAAACCACCAGAAGTAATCCCTGAAACACAGCTGTCCTGAGTACCTGGCATGGTTTTGTAGCTCGAGGAGCGCTGTTGTTGCAGTGGTCCCAGGTCACAGTTGGACTGATCAGACTTCCTTCCATCTTCTGCTGCAGAGCAGTTGCTGCCAGCCAGCTTGGGTATGAACAGGGGTGTGCATCCAATCACCCCGCTCACACAGAGGCAGCTGAACAGGGGATGGGGCTGAAACACTTGGCCATTATGATAATAGACCCTGTTGAACTCACATCCAACAGCCACAAGATCTGAAGAGAGAAAAAGCAAATTGTCAAAAAGAAAGAGAACTATAACTCGGGTTCTTAGACCGCCAGTAAGGCCTATAGACCTTACACAAAATATCTCATGAATATAGGTCTGAATTTCTTCAACCCCATTTGAAATCTTCATAGAACATCTATAGAGAGTGATAAAATAAGGCATTTTCATTTTCGTGTGTGCTATAAACCCAAAATGGTCACTTCCAAAATGAAAATCAAAAGCCTTGTTCAAGAATAAATTATTAAAAATCCTAAATTTGGCAGTGAGATGCCACAAGGTATTTGTATGTATGGACCCACAGTGCTGATGACAACATCCACAAGCCCAAGTCAGATGAAAATCCAGCGTGGATGGGGAACATGGGCAAGAAGCGCAGCTCAAGCTGATGAACTATTGGCAATTGATAGCTTCTGGGCCAGGGAGAGTTGGTTTTCTTTAAGGATGTGATGCTGGGTAGGTTGACCAGGCTCCAGGGAATGGACCACCCAAGTGTATTTGGGAAACAAATTAGACTCCATAGACCTTAGAAAACTAGAGAACGCTCTCGGTCCCATATTGAACTCGAGTTGGAAGAGGCGAGTCCGGTCTCAAAATGGAGGTAAAACCACCGCCCGGTCGCCCCCAGCCTGACTCCGGCCGTCGCCGCCGCAGCCAGGGGGAGGAGGGCCATGATCCAAAGGAACCAGAGCAGTTGAGGAAGCTGTTTATTGGTGGTCTGAGCTTTGAAACTACAGATGATAGTTTAAGAGAACACTTTGAGAAATGGGGCACACTTACAGATTGTGTGGTAATGCGAGACCCCCAAACAAAACGTTCCAGGGGCTTTGGTTTTGTGACTTACTCTTGTGTTGAAGAGGTGGATGCAGCAATGTGTGCTCGACCACACAAGGTTGATGGGCGTGGAGTGGAACCATTCTAGAAAGGATTCTGTAAAGCCTGGTGCCCATTTAACAGTGAAGAAAATTTTTGTTGGTGGTATTAAAGAAGATACAGAAGAATATAATTTGAGAGACTACTTTGAGAAGTATGGAAAGATCGAAACCATAGAAGTTATGGAAGACAGGCAGAGTGGAAAAAAGAGAGGATTTGCTTTTGTAACTTTTGGTCATGATACAGTTAATAAAATTGTTGTTCAGAAATACCACACTATTAATGGGCACAATCGTGAAGTGAAAAAGGCCCTTTCTAAACAAGAGATGCAGTCTGCTGGATCACAAAGAGGTCGAGGAGGTGGGTCTGGCAACTTTATGGGCCGTGGAGGAAACTTCGGAGGTGGTGGAGGTAATTTTGGTCGTGGTGGAAACTTTGGTGGAAGGGGAGGCTATGGTGGTGGAGGTGGGGGCAGCAGAGGTAGTTATGGAGGCGGTGATGGTGGCAACTATGGTGGTGGTCCTGGTTACAGTAGTAGAGGAGGCTATGGTGGCGGTGGACCAGGATATGGAAACCAAGCTCATGGATCTGGTGGTGGTGGAGGAGGATATGATGGCTACAATGAAGGAGGAAATTTTGGTGGAGCACGTGCGCCACCCTGTGGCTGCAGAGTCCGAGCTGCAAGCGGAGGAGGCGTCCAGGGCTCCGGGCCAGGTGTGAGGGAGGAGCAGATGGTGAAGAGGAGGGAGTGGGAAGGGGGCCCCATCGCTGCCAGATCCCGGGCGGGCGCCCGCACCATCACCATGGCGACGGAGGAAGGAAGAACGCACCCAGCCTCTTGCCTTTTCAGGACCTGGAATCTGGTCCCTCGGTTGCCCACGGAGGGACTTGGTCAGAACTACAAACCCCAGAATCCTTTGCACTCGAGCATCCTGCCTCCCGTGTTTCTGTTTGCGAAGGTCTTCTGGGAGTGGTAGTTCTGAGGCCTCACTGCGTTCACAGGCGGACAAGGCAGGCAGCTTGCTCGCTCCTATTCTGGGGCCAGACAGAGGAATTTTTAACTTTAAAAAAAAAAAAAAACTAGAGAACATGTAGGAGGTGGGGCTGTACCTAAGAAGAGATGGGCAAAGGATCTGAATATGATCAGAATACAGTATATGAAATCCTCAGTATTATTTTTGAAGAATGGATTGATGCCTGGATTACTCAGATGTACATAAGTACAGGCCAAGAATATAGGAGGATAGTAGAAGTGAATGAGTAAACCATTTATTTAGCTACAGTACTGCAAGGTAACTGGCTGGAGGATACTTCAGTTTCCTCTGTGAACTATTACTCCCTTTCTGGATCAGAAATTTTCCAAGTATGTTCCACCAGCCCCTTGGGATAGCTGGAATATTTTCAAAGAATCTGCACTAAGACAAGATAGGCTTTCATCAGAGTTGTTTTTGCACCAGTGCTACAAAGACAGTGGTGGATGGTAAAACTTGTGTGTCTGAGCATGACCCAGCCTGTACAGTAATCAGAGTACTCTTCCTTGTCATACACGTCTCCATAGAAAAATAAAGCTACCTTGGCTAACACCATTCTCGGCATAGTAAAAACAAAAATGCTATTAAATCCTACCCGTCTGTTCAGTATTCTACACGACAAAATAGAGCATTTGGTACGCCAAAGTATAGTCACTGTCAAGAAAAAGCACAGATACTGTTAAAGTTATAAAACAAATGAGCCCATTTTCTAGTTGTGGTTTTACTTATATAACTGACAGATGAACTATGGGTATCCCGATGGGTATTTGAGAAATTCTTTGAAAAATGAACAGAGACACCCTGTACACTTCTGTACAGCTCATAATGTTTGTTGCCAATTTCAGAACACAACCTTGCTAGCAAAAATTAGAATTGTGGGAAACCTATCTCCGCCACTGAGACATTTCTAGCTACCAAGGGTGTAGGATTTTCTGCTGAGAGTGACATTTAAAATATACGATGAAGTATCGTTTGAACGTTTCCATAGTATAGTAGACTGATATTTACAGATAACCAGAGCACACTGACAAGTTATACACAAGTGAAAGATTGACACCAAGTGGCTTTGTGTTGGGCTCTGTTCTGTTGGTTTTTTAAGATAGAATCTCCCCAACTAACCCAGGCTGACCTCAAAGTCTCAATGCTCCTGCCTCTGCCTCCTGAATGCTAGGATTACAAGTGTGGGTTTTAGTATTTTATGTTAGAGTTGAAAGTTCATTGATTTGGTTTCAGATTCCATGATACAGCTAATTTGTAAGGAAATGCTATTTGTCACAATATCAAAAAGTATATACATAAGGATCTGAGTTGTTAAATGTCCATCTTTTAATTTCATAGCTGTATGATACTAGATTTTCTTCATATATTTCAGGCAGAAAAACATAGTGACAACTTGAAAAAAGAAGCAAGTGAGAATTTACTCATCTATAGAACTGAACACTAGGGAGATTTATGAAAACGTAAAACTCAGGACATTCTCCTCACTAAAATTTTCTATTATGGATAATAAACGTTTTCAAGGAAATATGTTATTCCTATTAATTTGTACTGGATTTATTACATTTAAATGGATTATTAAATATTTCTAAATTACTAAACCATTAAATATCGATTGATAAAATCCATATAAACAGAAGCTCTGGGTCCTCATTAATTTCTAAGATTGTAAAAGGCCTCCAGACTAAAAAGTTTTTAAATTGAAATCAGCAAATTTTCTATCAAGGGCCAAATACTAAATACCAAGCCTTCTAGTCCCTATACTACTCTGCTTTGTGAAGCAGGCACAGACTACTATGTAAATGGATGGGCTGTATTCCAATAAGGTAGTTACATAAGCAAGCTGTAGTCTAGACTTAGCCCCTAGGAATAAGTTGTGATCTAGTTACAGATTGTCCACGTCCTCTTCTTCATGGCTGCTGTTAGAACTCATCATGCTTTCTGTAAAATTACTTGTGGAAAGAACCGACACAGTGAGGGTTCCTTCTGGGATGGGAAGGGCAGCCTGCGTCACTTTTTCCTCTGTTACGTTTCCAGTGACAGACCACAGTGCATACTCAGAAAATGTCAGATTAATGAAACCTGCTCAGTTTGAGAAAAGGAGGCATCCTGGATGCTGTTCATTCTTTTGTTTATTTATTTATGTCTTTTTTATTTTTTGAGACAGCGTCCCCCTACAGCCCCAGCTGGACTGGAACTCACTATGTAGACCATACTGGCCTCCATCAGAGATCCCTCTGCCTCTGCCTCCTGAGTGCTGGAATTAAAGGCGTGTACTACCACACCCAGCCAGAATGCCATTTTTGTAATTGGTCATGTTTTCCACATAGAATTTCCATACTTCTGAGACCCTAGTGTGTATCTTATTGGATACTGTGTGCCTTAGTTACTATGATAAAATACCCTGGCAAAAACAACCTAAGGGAGAAAGAGGTTATTTTGTCTCACAGTTTGGGGGGTACAGTCCACCATGATGGGGCAGTCCTGGTGGCAGGAGCTTGAAACAGTTGGTCAAGTCACATCCACAGTCAGGAAACAGAAAAAGAAGTTTGGCTAGTGTCCTCCTTTCTATGCAGGCCAGGACCCAAGCCCAGGGAACAATACAGCCAGTTCTTAGGGTGGGTCTTCCCACCCCAGTTAACCTCATCAAGATAATCCCTCACAGGCATGGCCAGAGGTTTGTTTCCTTAGTGATTCTAGATCCTGTCAAGTTGATAATATTCACCACACTATGCTAGGCATTCTAGAGTTTGCCATTTCATTTGATCTTCCCAGCCAAGCACCTATAAGATAGGAAGTACAACTGGGGCACAAATATTAGACAATTTGATTTGAATCCAGATCTCACATTCTTAACTAATATGGTATACTGACAAACCATCAGTTTATCAGACTTGAATGGCTGCACACAGTCCAACTCCAAAGCTATACTCTCATTCCATCCTCACAGCCAACTACTGGTCAGCAACTGTCTCCTCATTTGCACTTTTTTCTGTGGTAACTAAACATCTCTACTGACAAGTCTATGTCTTCCATTAGAGTTTTATTTTTATCCTAAATCATTTGGTATTCTGAATTATTGTCAGTGTGTTGCCAATTTAGATGGTCTGACTCAGACACCAGAGTTTGGACCCACAGAGTCAGGGTCGGGCTCTGTTTTACAAATGTGCAGTGAAAAATTACAGAAACATGATGGCTAATTCAAAAGATGGAGAGTAAAGTGGTAAGTCTAAATGCTGCATATCCATCCATGGGTTTTACATCTCTGTGTTTTTAAAGAGGATTACTTTCTCATTACAGGAAAAGCTAAATTCAGATTGTTTTTGACAGTATTAACAACAGCCACCATTTTGTAGCACTTTAGGAAGTCAGACTCTTATTTACATAATTTCTCCTATTTTCTATCATTAAAAGCGGTTACCTGAGAGTTACAAGGTCACTTTACTGCAGTGAATATAACAGGCTTCTGAATGTATGTAAGTATCTATGAACTTCACATGGTCGTCTGTACAATGGCCAGCCTACTGCTGCACAGAAACTAAATCTGACTTGTATTTAGCCAACTAAGCTCATCACTCCAAATTTAACAATTTTGGGGCGGTGGGGGGGGTGTCACTTTTCCCAGCAGTCTCAGGAGACACTTACATGCACACACTCCAGTCTCGTACCTAGGCGTGTCTGCAGAGTAGTCACAGTACAGCCCTTTGTGGGGGTCGCAGAGGTCAGCTTCATTGCAGGTGTCTCCTGGTTGCTTGGCACAGATTTTGCAGCATCCACAGCCATCCCTCACTAAGCTCACTCCAGGAGGACAAGTGGGCTTCTGATGAAGACATTTGCAAGGCCAGTGACAGAGCTGTTTGCGTTGATGCACCTCTGAGGCTTCTCCAAGCCCTCCCTCGGGGGTCGTGTCTGATGGCCCAGTGTCCCATGCCCTGCAGCAGAGCTTCATTTAGCAATAAAAGCAGTGTTAGAAAAGGTTCCTTAGACTAATATCACAGGTCTGTAGGAGAGTTGTGCCAAATAGGTGGAAAATGGTGTGGCAAGGTAGAGTACTTGACACGGTCACTCCCAGACCTATTCACTCAGCTTGTGACACATCGCTCTTCCTCGTTCCACTTCCTCACTGCTCCTTCTTGGTCTCCTGTGCTTTCTTTTCATCCTCCTGATCTCAACATTGACATTGGCTAAGGTCTTCCCTCACTGTAACTCATCTCCCAAACGGATCTGTCTCTCTTGAACTCAGACTCCTAACTGCCTACTTAGATGATTAAAAGGCAGAGCAGACTCGGTTTTCCCTCCTGTCTGCTTTCTCATCTATACATGCCCCTATTTGAGGAGATGGATCCTGCTAGACTCATTTTTTCACATCCAGTCTCATTGGTGAATCTTGTTGACCACACCTTTAAAGTCTACCTCCCTTGGCCTTCACATCCCCTCTCCTACCACTGTCATCGAAGCCACCATTATTTTTAATTGGGTGGTTAGAAGAGCCTCCTCTAGGTTCACCTTGTCTGTACCTCTGTACTCCGCATTCAGAGTGATGTTTTAAAAACACAGGCCAGTTCCTGTCACTCCTGCTTAGAGGTCACGAGTTCCTCGTGGCTTTCCATATCAGTGTAAAGTCCAAGCTGGCCCCCGAGGCCCTGAAGCAGCTCCCTGCTCCCTGTCTTCCTTTGTGAGCTACTTCTCACCCCCTTGCTTACTTCACTCCAGCCACACTGGCCTCCGCTCTACACGTGTGCCCTCCCCCCGGGTAGCTCAGTGGTTCACAATTTCCCCCTCTTTGGGTCTGTGCTCTAACCTCTCAGCAGGCCTCCTGCATTGGACAGGTTCGGTTGTCAACTTGACTCACCTGAGTGGAGAGAACCTCAATTGAGACATTTCCTCCATTGGATTCACTTGTGACTGTGTGGAACATTTTCTTGATGTTGAGTGATGTGAAAGTGCCCAACCCACTGTGGGTGGAGCAACCCCTGGGCAGGTGGTCCTCTGTTGTATAAAAAAGCAGACTCGGGGGGTGGGGGCAGATTGGGCACAAGCTAGAGGAGCAAGCCAGTAAGCAGCGTTCCTCCATGGTCTTTGCTCCAGGTTCCTGCCCTGAATTTCTGCTTTTGCTTTCCTTGATGATGGACTGTGAGTTGTAGGCCAAATGAAACCATTCCTCCCCAAGTTGTTTTTGGTCCGTGTTTTTAATCACAGCATTAGAAAGTAACTAGACACCTTATGACCAGCCTTCATGAAAGCGCACCCTACCCCCAGCCTCTTCTTACCAGTGGCCTCACTACCTCAGTAGTTTACTCATTTATCTTCTGAATAAGAGCTTTTCTTTCTTTAGTTCTTTCTTTTGAGGTGGGGTCTCAGGTAGATGCAGCTGGCTTTGAACGCCCTATGTAGCTGAGGATGACTGAACTTTCAGTCCTGCTTCCACTTCCTAAGTGCTGGGATTTATAGGCATGTGCCACCAGACCTGGACTGAACAGTTCTGAGGATCAAGCCTGAGGTTTCCTGCATGCTAGGCAAGTACTCTACCAACTAAGCTATGCCTTGTACCTCTCTGACTGCAATAAATATTAATTATAAGAACATGATATGTCCTATGTTCGAGGCATTTTACCTGGTTATCTCATTTTACCTTCATAGCAGCAGTGTGTAGTCATAGCTACTTGATGTTACTAGCAAATTAATGGTCCCGTCAAAGATGCCCATGTTCCTATCCCTGGTCCTGTTAATATCTTACTTGCACAGCATAGGGGAGTCTGAAGACAAGATCAAGCATCTTGAGATTATCATCCTGGATAACTCAGGTGCCCCACTATAATCACCAGGACACCTGTGAGGAGGCGGGTACATCAAAGATGTGGCAGCAGAAATCATTCCTGAGAGGAGATAGCAGCCATGAGGGCTGGAGTCTTTCCAAAGCAGAAAACCCAAAGAATCGATGCCTCCTGGAGCCTCCAGAAGGAACACCATTTTACTCGGCTGCACATATCCAAAACTTTAAGATAATGTTAAGCTATTAATTTGTGGTGCTCTCTTGCAGTAGCGATGGGAAACTGCCTCTGGTTATAAATTAGAACCCTGAGGATCCAATTATTTAACCTACCCTAGGCCACATACCAAGCAAGAGGTAGAAGGAATTAAATCAGGCCAGCCTCTGAGCTCACAACTCTAACCCCACTCCCCTTCCTCATACAGATCCCACTGCAATCCAACTTTGATACTGAACAAATCGCTAACTCTGGATCTCTTCCAGCTTCCGCTCTTCCCTTCTGGCCCCTTACCTGCTCCTAGGCAGGTCCACTTTGATGTGTTGTAAGAACTTTGTCCCTGCAACAGCCTGTTCGCCCTCTAGCAGTTTCTGCTTTAGCACATGTCACCATCCATTCAAGTCCTCAAGCCTGTAAAGCTGAAAACTATCCTGGATTTCTCTCTCTCCTTCATCCTTCACTGAAAGTCACTGACTTAGAAGAATGGTGAGCACTCCTCAGTACGGCGTTCAAGGCCCTCCTTGTTACCTACAGCCTTATATTCCTTAGGTTCCAGGCAGTTCCAGAGCCTGAAATTCCCAGTGTATCTGTCTAGGTCATTTCCCCAGGGTGGGACATTCTTCACCCAACCCCACTTCATCTAAGTTATCCTTCAATGCTCTGCTAATTATCACCTTTTTCCAGAAAGTGCTCTATAACCTCACACATACACCTTATACATGTCTTTGAACTGAAATTATCTGTGTTATCTGTCTCCTCAACTACCCATAGAGCTGCCCAACTTCAGGCATTTGTGGGTATGCACCCAGCTCAGTGTCTGGCAAGTGGGCATCATTAACTCAATGTTTACCTGACTGAACTGGAGAAAGGCAGTTTAATCCCAAGACAGAAGCCAGCTTCTAAGTAATTATATATATATA